ATGCAGAATCGTCTATGAAAAATGATACGGTACGGCGCGAATGAATTTAAAAAATAAGGGTGTGCTCGATTATAAGTCTTTATAAACAAAACATGATTCTGTATTTCAAACAATTATATTAGATCAATTAGAAAGAAACAAGAAAACAATGTTTCATTCATAACCAAACGTGTTTTCCCTTTTGCTTATTGCATCGAACAACAATTTTATGCATTTCGTAGATGAGTCTAGATAGCAATCCATGGAAACTGCGAATGAATTTGATTATGCTACGAGTTTGTGTCGTAGTTTACTGTAAACCGCACCCAATATTTAATAGAAGCCTTATTCAAATTCGTACCATACCCCTCAAATTCTATACATTTGTACTTTATTCAAATTATAACGACGAATATATAAAATATTATAATGAATACGCCATTTTTACCATTTCAGTTTCCTGATCTTTTTATTCTATAAAACCACAATATTATTGTAGAAACTATCCGAGTAACTCTTCTGTTTCAAATGGATATAGTAAAATGCAGCAAACAATGGTATTCATTATTGAATTATGATAAGGTAGATTTAAGGGGGGGGGGGGGGATGTGTGAGGTGTTTAAATTAAAATCCATAGAATTGTTTTAATTATTTGTCAACATGTGATTTGTTTTTCGAAAAAATAATAACCGTGCTTTTTTCCACGATACAAGTTGTGCAAAATTTTCGTATTTTGTACAGAGTCTGCAGGAAAATCCTAATTTTGAGTGAACAAAAAAGTACACCAAAGAATCTTAAGATAATTATTAGGAAATAGCTCTATTGATATGCTTTCAGATAAAAATTTAAAAAAAATGAGGTCACCGGAATTGTTTTCTTGCTACATGATAGAATCTATTAGATAAATTCACAACGCATTCTATTATGAAAGTTATTTATCTGATTAATCTCCCTCTACATGGGAAAGCTGAAAAATTTAATAAAACAAAACTGTTCTCTTTTTTGTAAAATACAGCCGTAACATTTGCATGATAAAACACAATTTTCTATATCAACATGATCAGCATGAAAAGTCTAACACATTAATTACATACTACCCTCAATATGTGTACATTTAAGATTAAGACCGGTTGTTATCTGCTTTTTCAAAATCCAAGATGGAGGAAGACAAGCATGTCCCTACATCTGTTCAATATTACAAAAAGAATTCAATTCAGTTATAACAGAAGATGAATATCACTTACTGAATACTACATGTATCTGCGACCTAAATTCAGCCAAGGTTTGCCTCGGAAAACAAACTGCAGATATTGTTGTTAAATTGCAATGAATCATGAGAGATTGAGTACATTGTATTACTACAATCCCATCCCGAAAAAAGATATCAGCTGTTTCACTAAGTTTTCACCTTCATTCAAAATCGCTTAACTTCCTTTAGAATTATTTTCACGGGTACACACTATTAACAAAAATGATAAAAGAAAGTGCTTATGGAAATATCCAAATGGGAAAACGTCCATACGAAAAAAGGAAATAACTCTTCATTCCTAAAAAGAAATATGAAGAGTGGACAAAAATATTTACGTCACAGATGTGTTTTAATTGAACTAAAGACGAAATTGCTATGAATGTTTGAAATTGCAGAATTAAACAACGTAAAGAACGGGAATCAGGAGTTTTATTCTACAAATCAATTGCACATGAAGTAGTTGTCGAAACAGAACGGTAATTTTTTACGAAACTACATATTCAACACAAAGAATGAACTAATACTTCGGAATCAACTTAAACATAAACAAGTGTTTGTTTCACTGTCCTAACTCAGAAGTAATTATTTTAAACATTATTATAATACAACCAAATATTTTTTTATGGCGACCATTCACAAATGCTTGAAGTTACTATACATAATATATTTACTTTCAACGTTACATGAACGCAGATGTATTTAACTCAACATTGTACAAACAATTAAAGAAAGGCGAAATATACCAAAAGGACATTCAAACTCACAAGTCGAAAATAAACGGACAATACCGTAGCTAAACAAGACCAACAGACAAAAAATAGTACAAAACATAAAAAAACTAATTACTGAGCAACACGAACCCCACCGAATACTTGGGGTGATTTCAGATGCTCTGGAAGGGAAACCAAGGAAAAGAATACAACTGAAAATATTAGAAATGATGCGGAAATGATTAACAATTTCAGAACATTAGGTTTATATGCTCATTGTCGCCTCTTTTATTGTTTATACTGAAAGGATAAATACATGCAGTTGCTTTGCATTTCAAGTTACAACAGTGAAAATTAATTTCAACATACTTCTTACTCATGGTGGTTACCGAAGTTTTAAGGTTTAATTGATAACACTAAGTACTTTTCTATTTATCTTTGATCGACTGTGTTCCACCATGATTAGCTTACAGATTGACGATCATAAAGTATTTGTACATGATGTGAATGTCGAAACATAAATGTTAATTTCGATTATTTTTACTTTCAACTAGTGAGGTGAAAAAAAAATATCAAAACGTAGAATTTGTTACAACTTCCGTATCAATAAAAGGACAAAAACCTTTGTATATCTTTGTCCCTTTATTCAAAAGACATTCATTTAAGCATATTATTAATGGAACATAAAAACATTCTAAAAAGTTAAAACTTTTGAATATGTATTCCTTTCAACACCATTATGTTTTATGGAGGACGTTTAAGATTTAATTGTGAGTAAATCAAAAACCTACTTTGTTCAATCATTTTAGGTCAATGTAGTTTGGGAAGTTTCAGTGAGTAATCAGAATAGGTGAATCTAGTTAATATCTAATAATACCAATGATCAAGTATCAACTATTTATCTTGTCCTTTTATACACATCTATACTACTAAAATATCGAGGTCAAATATGTAAGCCGGCATGACGTAAATACTACGAATCAAGATTTCAACTTTATATATCACTAATATATTGTTGTTAATTAAAAATTACACCATTTCAGGCCCTTTTGTTTTCCACATAATTAATATTACCAATGCTTAGCATGTTCAATAACCATAGTATATGTCACATGTAGTTTCTGGTTGTATGAATGTATGTATATATGTGTGTTCTGTATCTTCCTTCTTTATTAGGAGCACCATCATTGGTTATGGTGTAAATGAAGGACATTTAACACACTGTATGTGAACATTTGCTTACACAGTTTCCCAGCTTGGCCGTTACGGGTCTTATTACAAGAAAGTTAACCTTCCACGAAACAATAAGTACAATTCAATAAAACATACGAACACACACTTACCTGATTCACTCACTCTCCTCAAAAATTAAAAAGATGCAAAATATAAAAACAATTAAATACAAAATAAGGAATAGTTTCACCCCGGATGCCGCACAAATGTCATGGCAACGAACTGGAAACCGGTAATTACATACTGTAGTAAGAAAACCAGGACGGCTTCAAACAAAAAGATTTTTAAAGCAGAGAAAAAATTATTTTATCAGATGACATTACGAATACTAAAAATTCAGGCTCAAAATAAAGCGTAGGTATTTCAATTCATTCAAGGACCATGGATGTTGTGGTAGTGTTCGAGTTATTTATAAAACTTAGAACCTTCTACAACTAATTTTGGATTTCAAGTGGTACATTATGGAAGATAAATCTAGGCAAGATATATTTATGTATGTGGCGGGGTTAATGAATATAAGAAGATGTGGTATGTGTGCCAATGAGACAACTCTCCATCCAAGTCAAAATTTATAAAAGTAAACCATTATAGGTCAAAGTACGGTCTTCAACACGGAGCCTTGGCTCACACCGAACAGTAAGCTATAAAGGGCCCCAAAAAATTACTAGTGTAAAACCATTCAAACGGGAAAACCAACGGTCTAATCTATATAAAAAACGAGAAACGAGAAACACTTATGAACCACATCAACAAACGAAAACTACTGAACATCAGATTCCTGACTTAGGACAGGTACAAACAAATGCAGCGGGTTTAAACGTTTTAATGGTACCAAGCCTTCACCCTTTTTCTGAAACAATAGTGTAACATCACAACATAGAAAGACACACTATAAAATATCAACTGAAATAGCTTAACTCAATCAAAGGACATATTAACACCAGTGAACAAACACTGAACAAATAAATTTGACCCATGCTACAATGTAAATACAAAATAAATAAACTAAGGGAAGAATAATAAAAGTAACATGTTATATCGGTATGAAATGTTAAACAATTTAAGAAAAACAATATGCTCGAACAAAAATATCAGCCATTTGCAATAACTTTAAACACAGGTAAATAAAAATAATTTTGTTGTTAGGTAGAAGTGTACAGTTCCAATAGAGAAAGGAAATATTTTTACAAAATAAATAATTTTGATGTTCATAGTACGAAGTGAAAATTTATAGTAATACCAAACACTTATCAAAGCTGGTATATAGACCAGATATAACCCTGAATAACATTAAATAACAAACAAGCATTACAATTAGTATCAACAGGTCAAATAAACAAGAAAGTACGATTTGAGAGTACTCGCAGTTACTGACAGCTAGTTAAAAGCCAAAACAATTAATAATAAAAGATCATGCATCAGAGACTAAAATCAGCTAAAACACATCCCAGGGATTTAGTATTTTAACGTCATGGAAAGTCAAAGAAGACATGACTTGTTCAATGCCAAAAATAAATGTATCGACAGACAGTAGGACAGTTAGGAGTTTAACCTCTTTATAGATCAAAATGAACGTGGGTGTGTCTTTATACATACATGTTTGTAAACCCTCAATCCTCATATTCGATATTCATTTTTTACTTGTACAAATTAATTGTCGAAACATGAAATTGATGTTTATTTAAAGAAGACACAGAAAAGATCAAACATAAAGAATGGACATTAACTACCTTATTGATAAAAACACAAACACATTTTTATTTCATTGTCATTTATACAAAAGACATCCCTTTAAATGTATCATGTATGTAACTTAAACAATCTACAAAGTTTAAACTTTAAATATGTATTTAGTTAAGCGCCATGTTAATTTATGGAAAACTTTTAGAATTATAAGGTAAGTAATGCAAACACTGATTTGTTTTCAAACATTTTGTGAATGTAGAAAATAAATAAATGTAGTTTGAGACATTGCAGTAGTACATCAGGATAGATTAATCTAGTCAATATGCATGCATATTCATAATCAACTACCGAAACAGGTTAATGTACGAAGGTATGGTATTCGGCCCTATCTTGTTGTTAATGAATATGTTAAAAGAAATTTAATAGTAACGTATTCATATGTTAAATGATGAGAATCACCTAGTAAATAAAAGATATTGATATATTGTATTTTCAATCATTTTAGGTCAATGTAGTTTGGGAAATTTCAGTGATTAATCAGAATAGGTGAATCTAGTTAATATCTAATAATACTAATGATCAAGTATCAAAGGGAGTTAATGTATAAAGGTATATCATTTGGCCTTATTCAGCCTTATTCTGTTGTTAATGATGAATAAATTAAAAGAAATTTAATAATAACGTATTCATATCTTATGTGATATGAATCACCCATATGAAAATATGGATATATTGGCTGATTGCGAATAAGACAACTATTTATCTTGTCCTTTTAAACACATTTATACTACTAAAATACCGAAGTCAAATATGTTAGCCGGCATGACGTAAAAACTAGGAATCAAAGATTTCAACTTAATATATCACTTATATAGGACAGAGTTGTTAATTAAAAATTACATCATTTCAGGCCCTTTTGCTTTCCACATAATTAATATTACCAATGATTAGCATGTTCTTGGTCGAATCCGATACCAATAACCATAGTATATGTTACATGTAGTTTCTGGTTGTATGAATGTATGCATATATGTGTGCGCTGTATCTTCCTCCTTTATTAGGAGCACCACCATTGGTTATGGTGTAAATGAAGGACATTTAAAACACAGCCTGGCCGTTACAGGTCGGGTCTTATTACAATAAAGTTAACCTTCCACAAAACAATAAGTACAATTCAATAAAACATAGGAACACACACTTACCTGATTCGCTCACTCTCCTCAAAAATAAAAATAAAATGCAAAATATAAAAACAATTAAATAGAAAATAAGGGATAGTTTCACCCCGGATGCCGCACAAATGTCATTGCAACGAACGGGAAATCGGTAAGGACATACTGTAGTAAGGAAACCAGGACGGGTTCAATCAAAAAGATTTTTAAAGCAGAGAAAAAAATGATTTTATCAGATGACATTACGAATACTAAAAATCAGGCTAAAAATAAAGCGTAGGTATTTCAATTCATTCATGGACCCAGGATGTTGTGGTAGTGGTCGAGTTATTAATGAAACCTAGAACCATCTACAACTATTTTTGGATTTCAAGTGGTACTTTATGGAAGATAAATCTAGGCAAGATATATTTATGTATGTGGCGGGGTTAAACATGTTTGTAAACCCTCAATCCTCATATTCGATATTAATTTTTTACTTGGACAAATCAATTGTCGAAACATGAAATTAATGTTTATTTAAAGAATACCCAGTAAAGATCAAACATAAAGTCTTGACTTTAACTACCTTTAGTTATTGATGTAATCACAAACACATTTTTATTTCATGGTCATTTATTCAAAAGACATTCCTTTAAATGTATCATGTATGTAACCTAAAACAATCTACAAAGTTTAAACCTTAAATATGTATTTAGTTAAGCCCTATTTTAGTTTATGGAAAACTTTTACAATTATAAGGTAAGTAATGCAAACACTGATTTGTTTTCAAACATTTTGTGAATGTTGAAAAATAAATACATGCAGTTTGAGACATTGCAGTAGTACATCAGGATAGATTAATCTAGTCAATATGCATGCATATTCATAATCAACTACCGAAACAGGTTAATGTACGAAGGTATGGCATTCGGCCCTATCCTGTTGTTAATGAATATAATAAATTTTATAGTAACGTATTCATATGTTAAATGATGAGAATCACCTAGTAAATAAAATATATTGTAAGATTGCCATGAAACAACTATTTACCTCATCCTTTTAAACATATTTTTAACGAAACCTGAAATCATCTACACAGTTTAAAATTTAAATGTGAATTTCGTTGAGCGCTATATTGTTTTATGGGGGATTTTTAAAAGTGAAGGGTAAGTAATGCAAACACTGATTTGTACTTAAACGTTTTCTGATTGTAGAAAAAAATCAATGTAGTTTTATGATTTTCAGTGGTACACAATGGAAGATGAATCTAGGCACGACATATTAATGTATCATTAACTTCTGAACCCATCCTTAAAACAAAAATCTTCGTTTAAATATTCAAATTACCTTTCAATTTCGTCCATTGTCTAAATTTCTGTAGACATCAATCGGCCACATTCTTGTATTATCAAATCATATCAAAAGAGATATAAGAAAACTGATAGAAATCACCTATATAAAATAAGGTGATATGATATGATTGCCAATAGGAAAACTATCTAACAGAGTTCAACTATAGCTCATCGTACAGCCTTCAACAATGAGTAATATCCATACCGGATATACAGCCAGAAAAGGCCGTGACATGACATAATGACCGGATTAATAACATAACATTTTACGAAAAACATACATGACAGGCCATGGAACGGTCACATAAAGAATGTTGCGGGGTTAAACATGTTTGTGAAAAGTAAAGAATAACAAAAATACCGAACTCCAAGGGAAATTCAAAACGGACAGTCCTTTATAAAATGGCAAAATCAAAAGCTCATACACATCAAACGAATGGAAGACAACTGTTATATTCCTGACTTGGTACAGGCATTTTCTAATGTAGAAAATGGTTTTATAGCTAGCTAAACCATTCACGTGTATGACAGGTGAGCGTTTAAACATCTCCATAACTTTTAACAACTGTTCGGTCTATTCAAAATGAGACGTAACAAGAATATATCATGAGGTTAGAGTTTTTATTTTCAAGGGAAACGCGAGATATTAAATTTACATCAGTGTTTACAATATTATAATATTTTCTTAAATAAAACATAATTAAATATAATTGTCTGTTGTTCAGATTGTGAATTAGTTTGAAGTTTTTGCATGTACACGGGTAAAAGTAATGAGTGCAGCCCCCAAACAGGGATAATACAATCAGTTTAAACATTGAAATCCGTGTTTTGTTCCATATTATAGATTATGTAGCATATTTATTTTTCATTTGTACATGATGTGATTGTCGAAACATAAAATTAATGTTTATTTCGGTTATTTTAACCTTTATCCAGTTGATTGAACAAAGAAAAAACAGTAGATTATCAAACATGAAAAATTGTCTGCAACTTCCAAATAAATATAAACACAAACACATTTTTATTTCTTTGTCATTTATACAAAAGACATCCATTTAAATCCATCATGAATGAAACCGTAAAACCTCTTCAAAGTTTAAACTTTAAATGTGTATTTCGTTAATGCGCCATGTTGTTTTATGGAAAACTTTAAAAATTTAACGGTAAGTAATGCAAACACTGATTTTCTGAATGTACAACAATAAGTAAATGTAGTTTGAGACATTTCAGTAGTACATCAGGATAGATTTATCTAGTCAATATTCATTCATATTCATGATCAACTACCGAAACAGGTTAATGTACGAAAATGAAAATGTTTAAATAAATTTAAAAATAACGCATTCATTTCTTAAATGATGGGAATCACCTAAATAAAAGATATTGAGATATGGGCTGAGTGCCATAACAAAACTATTTACCTTGTCCTTTTAAACATATTATTAGTGAAACCTGAAACTATCTACACAGTTTAAACTTTAAATGTGTAAGTTGTTGAGCGCAATGTTGGTTTATTGAGGACTTTGAAAGTAAAGGGTAAGTAAGGCAAAAACTGATTTGTATTCAAACGTTTTCTGATTGTAGAAAAAATTATCAAAGTAGTTTTAGGATTTTTTAGTGGTACATTATAGAAGACGAATCTAGGCACGACATATTAATGTATTACTAATTTCTGACCCCATGATTAAAACAAAAAATGTACGTTTAGATATTCTAAATGCCATTCAATTTTGTCAATTGTCTAAATTTCTGTAGACATCAGTCGGCCATATTCTTTTATTATCAAATCATATCAAAAGAGATATAAGAAAAACTAGAACACATCCGCTACATCGCGGTTTCGTGACTAAATTACAGTACCTAAACCTTATTCATATTGTCATCTGATAAAGTCTTGCTGATTAAAAGGTGAACAGTTTTCTCTGTTTAAAAATCTTTTTGTTTGAACCCGTCCTGGTGTTCTTACAAAAACTGGAACCTACATGTGACATTGATTAAATTTAGTAGTGTCAATTCCTGTATAATAAGGAAGTTCAAATGTGATAACGACCGTGTACATAGCAAATCCCAAATACACCGTTTGATGGTGCGCCTGACAGAGGCGGAATGTACAGATTAGGTAACAGGTGACATATATTAATGGTATGGGTGTCGGATTCGACCCAGAAGCTGTTAATTATTGGTAATATTAATCACGTGGAAAGCAAAAGGGCCTGGAATGGTGTAATTTTTAATCAACACCATTGTCCTATATTAGTTATATATAAAGTTGAATTCATGGATTTATCGTTTTACTTCATGCCGGCTAAAAAATTGGACCTCGTTATTGTAATAGTATAAATGATAGAAATCACCTATTTAAAAATAAGGTGATATGGTATGATTGCCAATATGATAACTACTTGTATCCAACAGAGTTTAACTATTGCTCATCGTACAGCCTTCATCAATAAGTAATATCCATACCAGATATACAGCCACAAATGGCCGTTGCATGACGTAATGACCTGATTAATAATACAACATTTAAGGAAAATCATACATAGCAGACAATAACAAATGACAACTACTTATTAACCGGCCCCGGAACAGTCACATTTATCGTTTCACTTCATGCCGGCTAACAAATTGGACCTCGTTATTTAAGTAGTATAAATGATAGATATCTTCCACATGAAGAGAAAGTCTGGGAACCAGATCCTCGA